GCGGATTGGGCAGGATGCTCTACTACCAGATCAGCTCCAGGTTTCAGAATCCACTCGTTTGGAACAACAGTTGCATTTGGCAGCAGAACACAAGCTACAATAGCACTAAGTTCAGCAGAATCTGAAATGAGCGCAATTTAACGAGGGACTACACCTCAGAATCTCTTGCTGGAAACAAACATTTGCAGCAAGCTCAAGTTACGCATCCACACCGACTCCACAGCAGGCAGAAGCATTGCTACACGACCAGGCACCAGCAAACGAGCAAAGCACATCGGCCTCAAACTCCTCTACGCGCAATGAGCTCATACAACACGACATCGTGCGCATCCCCAAGATCAACGCAATTCACAACAGCGCATATTGTTCACCAAATACATCAGCAAAGAAACGCTACAGAGGCTTATCCATATCGCATCTAGCACTACGACCGACTGCTTCACGACAACTATTTCACAACAATGTCATAACACCAAACAGGCGGCATGCTACACGTGAGAGTATGTGCGTAACGCCGAATACAGCAATGTCACTTGCACTTGCGGCATGTGTTCGGCGGCATGGACGCTATTTTTTCCTGTTTGCTTGCACGCTTGCCGCGCCTTTAGCCACAATCGGCTGTGCGTTAGGTCTGTTTCAGTACCTTCGGCCACCATGGATCGCATGATCGTTTCCTCTTCGCCTGAAGTTAAAGTGGCAACGGCCACACCGGATGCCACTCCTCCCTGCACCTTCCACGCAACGATTGAACGCGCAATGCCACCGATTCCAACTACAACCCAGTACACCAAGTACATTCCACTCAAGGTGGAAGACTACTGCCTCCTCACTACTGGAAGCGACGGCCCAACTACACTCAACAACTCCAACATAGTCCACACTACACCACATCCACCATTTCTTCCACCACACGCGCTTCCAGGTCACCGACATGAGCCAACCTACAACCGACGACAAATGACGCAGTGCATCAGACACTGTGCTGTGGCACTACTCGATCACGGAAGGCCCCACCAACAAAGAGTTAGCAAGCGCTCACAGCAGCGTTACCCAATCTCTACAGTCACCGCGACAACCACCTCGACGACTTCATAAGAGATCACCTTAACCACTTCACCTCAATTGTGAGCAACTCCACAAATCAAATCCATCTCTGCCAGTCCTCACACTACATTCAGTTCAACTTCAACAAGTTCAACAACCACTACACCCTCAGCAACAGCTACATATGGGACTACCATTCTATACTGATTCTACACTTGTCACCGACCAACCTTCAGTCCTACCAACTACATGCAAGTGATGAGACCATTCACCGAGCCACACGGTGCATACTCAAAACGACTACAGGCACCACCTTCTCACTACAATCCATCGATCACAACTACACCCACGACTGATCACCACACTGCAACGACTTCAGGTACACATGCCGGTGTACCCCAAAAAAAGCTTCAATCGCATCAGAGGTTCCCGGCAAGAACTTTTCTAGACTACATGGAAAAATCAAATAAAACAACAGCAGCGAGACTACTGGCAGCAGCACACTACTGCCTGGACTCTTGAGATGAACTAAATCCAGCATTTCAGAAGCGCCACTCAGTCCCACTACATCATCCACTGACTTGGGACACGAGCGCTGCTGAAGTACTACACGCTTCTTATTTCAAGAACTTCCGGTAGAAGTGTTGGGAAACAACTCCAGTGTTGAGTGAAGAAAGCCAAGCATGGCACATTTTCCCTCTTTTGCATTTCCAGTTTGTTGGTACTACTAAAAACCATCAAATTGCAGGGGCGTTTCAAACTGCAGTTTACACTTCTTGTACAATGTACACTACTGAAGGCCTTGAGCTACCAAGCATTGTGCTGCAAAAGGGCGCATGCACAACCACACTTGAAGTATAGAACACTACAAGCACTTGCGACTGTCGTGTTTACCATTTTGAAATTAACTATAAGAAGAGAGAGAGAGAGAGAGAGAGGGAGGGTGAATATGAACAATGCACATGTAAGTTCATGTAAGTGCGTGTGCGTGCGTGTGTTTTCGCAAGCACCAATGCAAGCGACCTCCTTTCCCGCTTTCCCTTTTGGGCCTTAGATCCGCTCAATTACAATTCTGACGGCACAAAACTTCTCGCATGGAACGAGAATGTGTCTGGGTGAGAATGTGTCTGGGTCCGAAGCCGTCCCTCTCCCTGTCCTGCCGTGCGCGCGCAGGTGTGTGAAATGTGAAAAGCGAACGATGCGCGAAAGCCGAAAGCCTTCCGCGCCTTCCCATTGCCTTTTCCTTCATTCTTTCCATCCTTTGCCCGAGACAATCGAGACAATCCACATCTATACAGTCTATACATCTGCACGCGCGTCGAGAGTTCAGTCCTTCCCGGCGCCTTTGGCCTCGCCCTGAAAGGAAGACAGGCACTTTGGGCACTCGGGGCACTCGGGGAGCTCTGCATCCGCAGGCCTTTCTTCTTGACTTGCTGGTTTTGGGCTCCTGTCCCCGCCAGGGTCACTGGGATCTCACACTTCCTCACTTCCTGAGGCGCCAGCCCAATCCTCTTCCCATTCCCAGCCGCCCCAATCCCAGTCACCTCAATTGCTTGCGGCTTGCGCTCCGCAGTTTCGGACGTCCCATGGTCCCAACCCCAGCCGTCTGCCCAATTCCAACCTGCGAAAGCGACAGCTTGGAGTGGCTTGGAGGCTTTCAGGCTTGATGCTTTCCCGGAGCCTGAAGAAAAATCCTTGGCGCGTCCTGGCCGACCGGCCGACCCAAAGGACCCAAACCGAACCCATCAGACATCTCCGGCCTTTCACTCGGTCAGTCGGAGTTGCCTTCGGGATGCCAACCCCTTGGTCCCGCACCGCCCTCTGCTCTCGCTCGCCTTCTCACCCTCTGGCTTCTTCGCCACCCACTTCATGGCTGGAGCACAGAGTGGCACAAATTGCAACATTTCAACGCTTACACCGACTCAGAAACGTACACCTGTACACGGCTACACCACGGACAAGCGCAACACGTGCCTTGCGGCATGAATCACCTGAGCCCACTCGTTGGAGCAGGTCCGCGTCGAATGAATCAAACTCAGGCACTAGCTGTCGGTGAGGCTTCGCAACCCCACCCCCTTCCCGGCACGTCTGTTCCACTGACTGCCATTCTTGGAAGCAATCAAATGGAAGTGAACAGTCAGCAAGTCACCAAGCGTGCTGCTTGAGCCATTCCAGCTTTCCAGAAGGGAGTGGCAAACACTGCGGCTCTTGCATGCTCTATCAAAGCTGGCGCTGCCTTGAATGAGCAAAATTCCTTGCAGCCTCGGACTGAGCAAAATTCCGTCCAACTCTTTCCCAAGGTCCGCCTACGAAGCGCCCTGAGACTGGCACAGGACCATATCATCTCATCCTGACGCCAGTCGGTGACATCGACATGTGGCAAGGATGCGGAGCACTGTGAGGCCCCAGCATTCTGCATGGCTGTGAAGCCGGCCAAGAGATTGTGGCCAAACCAAACGCACGCACATTGTCAGCCATCTGTTCAGGCGTGGGCTACATCCGGGAAAGAAGCCCTTGCGTTGTGTAGATTACAGCGGACTGCAGGAATGTGCTGCGTGCGGCGTATACTGAAAGGGTGTAACTGAATCGAATAATCCAGGTCTTGAGCCAAGGAGCCAAGAGCATCGTGCAAGTTGCCCAAGGCCTGCAAAAGGCCCCCTTTCTCGCGCACTAAACCTCACTGCCGAACGTCTCGGGAAGATGTTTGGGATGGAATTGCGGTTCTTTCAGCTGGTGCACAGCTTGCTGTGAAGCTCAGCAAACCCCGCAGAAACCAAGGCAACACCGCAAGCCTGCAGCCTGCCCGCTTTCCCCTAACACGAGAGCTTAAGCAGGAGCTCGAGCCAAGGTCAGCTCTTCATGACCGCCTGCCAAGGCCACGAGTGCCGCGAGTGCCACGAGTGCGACGAGCGCCACGAGTGTGCCTCCCCAGTGTTGGGGTTGGTGATCTGAAGCGGCGTTGAGGGCTTTCGCCTCAGCCCGGAAGCCCTCAAGGAGCCTCAAGGAGCCTCAAGGAGCCTCAAGGAGCCTCAAGGAGCCTCAAGGAGCCTCAAGGAGCCTCAAGGAGCCTCAAGGAGCCTCAAGGAGCCTCAAGGAGCCTCAAGGAGCCTCAAGCGCCTCAAGGAGCCTGTCAAGCCTCAAGCCTTCCTACCTTTTGAACTCGGATCTGCCAGGCACATGCGGCGTAGGCCGCATATCCGAAGCAAAAATTGCGCAGGTCGGGGCTCAAATATATGCTGACCGCTCTATTTGGATTGCCGGGGGTTCTAAATATGAGTCAACACTGTAGAATTCTCTGGAACTGTTTGCACTGGAGCTCAGAAATCCCAAGTATTGGATGTGGCTGAGGACAAATGAGCAGTGTTCTAAGCCCAGTTGCGGCCAAGGAGAGATATCAAATCCCTTGCACGGAGGCTTCCGCATCGCTTCCGCGGATTGAGAAATACAGTTGAAGCTTGTTTTCACTTCTGCCCGTGCAGGAAAACAACCATTTCTTATCTTTGCAGCCCTTCCACAAAGCTTCTCCGCTTACATGAATGATAAGCACCTTTCGCGAACCTTTCGCTTCCTCAACCTGGGAAAAACAGTTTTTAGAACGCCGCTCAAATGCACACTGGTTGTTTAAGAATCGAGTTTTCCGGCGCTAACACGGCGATCGGCATTGCCCAACAGAAGTTTTAGTGGGTTTAGCGGTCGATTGGCGACGCACGAAGGTGGGCCTTCCTGACGCCAAGTTGCCGTCGTTTGCCTTTTGCTCAGCGACGGAAAGCGAGCGCGCAGACGAGTGAGCGCAAGATACCGCGAGGTGGGCTCGTCTCTTTCGTCGCATGGACGGCGCCTACGAGCCTGCGCTGCGTGCTATGAATTTGCCTTGTCATTACGAGCCGTTTCTGGACCGTCGCCTGGCCAGAGTCGCCAGAGTCTAGCGAGTCGCCGGCCAACTCGCACGGAGCATCCCAAAGCGGTCGGGTAACAAGAGTCGGGAGCTTTGACGCACGCTCGAGGTGCTCCCAGCGGGCAAACTTCTGCTCCTTTCTCCTCAAGCTCGCATCCACTTCTTTAAGCGCCAGCCAGCGAAGTGTGCGAGCTGTCGACGGCGTCAGGTGCAAAGAAGCGCCGCGGATGATGCAAGTAACGCTGGGGATGTTGCCCACTCTGGTGAAAGGAAATGTGGGGAAATGAAGGGCACAGCATGGAAGTAAGGGACATGAAGCGAAAAGATGAAGGGAACTGAGTGGAAATGAATGAAGGGACATGAAGGGAAATGAAAGCTTAAGGGCATAAAATCTGAAAATCTGAGTGGCTTAACGTGTTAAATCCTAATAGCTTAAAGTCTGAACATCTTAATGGCTTACCTTTCCCCCGCAATGGTCTTTTCCAACCTTTCCTCCCTAAGATCTTCTCCCCCCTTTCTCCCAGATCTTCTCCTCCCTTTCCCCCCCTACGATCTTTTCCACCTTTTTCCCCCTAAGATTTGTTGCCCCCTTCCCCTCCCCCTTCCCCCCGTAAGATATTTCCCCCCTAAGATCTTTTCCCCCTCTCCTCCCCTGAAAAAAGGGCGCAAAGGGTCAAAAATCTTAAAGGAAAATGGAAAAACTTAGGGGGGAAGGGGGGAAAAGATCTTGGGGGAGAAAAGGGGGAAGATCTTACGGAGGAAAAGGGGAATAGATCTTAGGGAGGAAAACAGGCCTGCAATGTCGGCGGCCTGAGCCCCAAATCCAGACTTCCCCGAATCCCAAATCCCGAATCCGAAAATGTGACTCTCCCGAAAATGTGACTCGAGTCCCCAATCCCGAATCCCAAATCCCGAACATGTGATTGAATCCGGAATCCCGAATCCCGAATCCTCAATCCCAAATTTCGACTCGAGTTACATTTTGAGAATACGGGGTTCCGAGTCACATATTCGGGATTCGGGATTCGGGATTCGGGACTGAAATATATTTGGGGATGCGAGATTCGGGATTCCGGATTCAATCACATCCGGATATGGGATTCGGGATTGAGGACTTGAGTGACATTCTCGGGGCTCGGGATTCGGGGTTCGTGCCTCGGGTCACATTTTCGGGATTCGGGATTCGGGATTCGACGGGATTCGACGGGATTCGACGGGATTCGACGGGATTCGACGGGATTCGACGGGATTCGACGGGATTCGACGGGATTCGACGGGATTCGGGATTCGAGGCTCGAGCCCCTTTTTGGGAATTCAAGATTCGGGGCATTTTCGGGAACCTTGACGCCCGCTCGGCCTCAATTATCAAGGCCATACTGCTCACGACCTCGAGGCAAAATTTTCACGGCCGTACGGGATTTTCACGGTCATGCCGTTTTCACGGTTCAGAGCTGGCCCGCAGAATTAGCTACGAAATGTGATTAAATCCCCGAATCCCGAAAATGTTACTGATTCCCGAAATGTGATTAAATCGCGAATCGAGAAATTGGCAGCGACCTCCGGATCGCCTCTCGAATGATGGCCCTCCAAAGTTCATCGTGGTTCACTGCAAACAATCCAACGAGTCTAGACCAGTGGAACAAGACCATCGATGAAACGCGGCATCGTTGATACCTTGAAGTTCCTTGGGGGATGCGATTGCAGCTTCAGACCCAGCCGAATCAAATGCCTTCTAGCCTCGAGTCTCTGACGGGGCAAAGTTCATACCCATGGTGTCTATTGGCTTGCCACCTGAGAGCACAGGAAGTCACCTTTCTTTGTGAGCCTTTTGAATGGGCACTGTGGGGATCCACGATCTGCAGCAACCGCGGCTTCGGCGGCGCGAAGTCCGCCCTGGCCGCGTCCGCTTCCCTCTCGCTCTCTCCATTCGAAGGTCCAGGCGTGGCTTCTTCCTGCAGCGCGGCCGCGCATGTCTTGCCTTTGCCTTGCCTTTGCCTTGCCCCGCCCGCCTTTGCCTCCTCGTCCTGTGACTCGCGCTCGAGATCAGTCGAAAGTGAGGCGTGAGGCTAGCACATCCGCATCCGCATCCGGCACATCGGCATCCGGCACGTCCGCTGGCAAAGCGGCTGCGCCCGATGCGGGTGGTTCAGCTCGTGGCACCCCCACGGGCGCAGGTCCGGGACCCTTGCCTCGAATGAGGCGAGTCGCAGCCCAAGGACCTCCTTCCGCACTAAGCCAACAGCCCTTCGCAGCCTCGGAGTTGCAAAAAAACGCGTCCTGTCATCACACATTCCATCGGGCGCGGGGCTTTGCCAAACTTGCCACTTGCGGGGAAAGAAGCGTACCTTGGCCGATGCGAGTTGCATGTGGGGGTTATAGCAGCAGCGGGACATTTGCACGAGCTGTTGCTGGTAGGCAGCCATGGCCTCGACGTGCACCCAGGCAATCCACACCCAAGAAGCGATCCAAGTGCCGGGCGGCCTGCTGTGCCATGTACCTGGCTGCTCGCAATGCGGGCCAAATGCAAAAGAGGCATACCGGTCATCTCTGGGCTGCTTGCTGCTGCCAGCAAGGGTTCATGCTCGCCTAAATGCGATCATTCGCAGGCGAGGCTTTGCTGTTGAAACTCAGTGCCTGGGCTCCAGCTGGGTTCATCATGTTGGAAAGCATGGCCTCGACTCAAGAAACACTGTCATTCTGTGGACATGCACCCTCAACCGAGACAGTCTGAATTGCTCTGAGGTAGTAGCATTGTAGTACGGGTTGGCCTGTCGAACGACTTCATTCGAATGATTCGGAATTCGGGTCGCGTCCTGGCCAGGGTGGCCCGGGTGGCCCGGGTGGCCCGGGAGGCCCGGGAGGCCCGGGAGGCCCGGGTGGCTGAATACCGGACCCGGGGTTCCCGGGGCATGGTGAGGATGGTGAGGGTCCTCGAAGCGCGCGCGACTTCGAGCGACTTGGAGCGACTTGGAGCGACTTGGAGTCCTGCCGCAGGCCTCGCTTCGCAACCGATCAGAGAGTCGATTCGAGTCGAGTCGGAGAGTCGAGTCGCCCGGGGGCCCGGCCTTGCGCCTGGCTCGCTCACGTGCGATGCGCAGTGCGTCGCAGCACTTTGCGCCTCCACTGCCATGGCCTCGACTCGTCGACTCGTCGACTCGTCGACTCGTCGACTCGTCGACTCGCTCTCAAAAAGTCAAAAAAAAGAAAGAACAAGTCTCCACCAAGTCTCCACCAAAAAGCAAAGTCACTCTCCGAGCGAGTGGGGCCGCCCACGTCTTGATACAGCTTGTCGAAGCGCTCCGCGATCTCGTGCACCGTCAGCGGCGAGTCCTCGTGACAGCCCAAACGCGTCGCCCAATCTCTCGCCGCGCCTTCTCTTGCTGATGGCCCCAGGCCACGAAAATGTCAGTGACAACCTGAATCAAACGGAAGAAAAAGGACAAAACCGTATAAAGAAAAAGAGAAAAGGAGAGAAAAACAAAGAGAGAAAACAATCAAGAGGACAGAACCCGTGAAACCAACACAGAACCATGTAAAATAACTCAGCATGCCGTGTAAAGCACAGCTCGTCGGTGACCGGCCGTCGGCCATTGCCTCTTGCTTCGTGGTCTTGTCTGTGTGCCTTTTCAGCTGAACTTTGACCTCACAGCTTGGGATTGACGGGCTGTGGTCACTCACAGGGCTCTGACATCAGCAATGTCCATCTCCAACTTGCCCTTCTCACTCTTGCCGAACCTCGTCGAATTGCGCGAAGGCGGAGGATGCTTTGGTTGCCAATGGATGCGAGTCCTGAAAAAATTCTGGCTCAGGCACCCCATCACCAGCATCCAGTCGGTTTGGGTTGATTCCGCGAGCCCTAGTCGGAACAATCTGGCAAGTCCAACTTGTCACACATACGTGCAAAGCCTATTGGGTTTCCATGGGACGGCTACGGTCCCGGTGGTACCTGGGGAATTTGAACCGCCCGGCCCGAGTAACGTTCCGTTCTCCATCGCTTTTGTGAAGCCTATTGCCAAAAAAAAAACGTAAGCAAGCCGAAGCCTACGCTTGACAATGGCCCCCTAGGGACTTGGCTGTGGCTCAAATAGACGTACCAAAATGGCCCCCTTGGTACATGGAACCAAGGACTAAAACCTGCGTAGCCCCAGCTCTTGAATTTTGAGCCACACCCACTTGATGGAATCGCAGCGCCGGCTCGGCTTCACTGTTGCACGCCGGAATACCATCCCAAGGATGTGGCAAAGGTCCATGAGAGTTCCTTTTGGCACCACGGAATTTAGAGCCAGCTCATCCTAACACCGAGGACATTTCGGGCAGATTATCCTTAGCAATGTGGAAAGTCCAAAGGTAACTTGGAAACGGGGCCCGAGTTGCAAAAGCTGAAGCGAAGCACTGGGCTCCGGGCGTCTTCTCGGCATAATTCATGATCGCCTGCACAAGACTGCGTGCAGTCTTAGTCGATGTGCTCTATGTGCTCTCATGGCCTCGCGTATTGTTGCAGACTCCACTGAGACGACAGCACAGCCCATGCCGCTGTGCTTGTGAACCTAGCACGAATATCGAACGTCGAAACTCGGCGAGCGAAAACTCGCCTGGCAATGAGTGCCTTTGGCTTCGATGGGCTGCTTCCCGCCAGCGTCGGCGCGCTTGACGCGCTCGATCTTGCCCTTGCCCTGAGCGGAACAAAGCGCTGCAAAGCGCGCTTTCGAGGCGCGGCGAGGCGCGGCAAGGCGCTCGAGGCGCCTGCCTTGGCCAGCTCAGCTTCAAGTTCCGTGACCTGACGGAGGCCGACGGAGGCCGTCTGGGCCAGTGGCCACAAGCCCCAAGGCGCTTGCCATCTTGGCACCGGTCACCGGCACGGACCTGGCCACAAGCCAAGCGGTTAAGCGTCTCTCCGTTCCTCGGACAAGCCTGGCTGCAGCAACCTGCGCTCATGCAAGGCCGATATTCCCAATATTCCCCATGTTCCCAATGGTCCAAGCCTTCACTTGAAAGCCTTTGAAGCCTGGACAGAGCACGTTACACTTCGCCTCATGCCCTGACCGTGCCTTGCAAGTCAAAGTGCTCGCTGTTCTTTCCTCGGTTCGGCGTGATGCCCGCTCAAAGAGCGCTAAGAACCCTTGCCTTTTTCACCCTTTCTATCTTCCTCCTAATGGAAAGCCCAAATGTGTCCTTTCCCAATAACATGCCGCGTCCTGCTTTCCTTTCGACTTGCCTTTGGGCTTCTCCGAACCTCAGGCTGCGGGCGCGGACGGCAAGCGTGCGCGGCGTGCGGCGCGACGGCGAGCCTTGTGAGCCCTGGCCTGGACACGAGACGCTGGCCGCATGGCCACTCGAGTGAAATGAGGCCGTGTGACATTGAAATCATTGTCTGTGCATTTTGCGAAGCGTCTACTCGTATGCAAAAAGCAAAGGCGAAGCGCGACACCACGACACCAATCCAAGCACAAGCGCAGTTGAATCACGCGCAGTGAAGCCGGTGCACGGGTTCATGCTGAGCGCACTGCCTGTCTCCCCCTTGCCCTGCGGGGCGAGACAGAAGCAAATGAAGGCCGACGCGCTGACGCCTTGGACTTGCTGCCCTTCTCTTTGACCTTGTCTCCCTTCTCCCCCTGCATGGCATGGAGCTGCCAGGGAAAGCGACTCAAGCAACTCGAGCCTTCCACTTCGGCTCCTGAGAATTGGACACCGAAGCCGAATGGGCGAATCGGATGGGAAAGGCACGGACCCACTCCCACCAACCTAAGCGAATCGCAAACTCAAACAGCAAAGCAAAAAAGCAAAAGGGGGATCGAAACGAAAAGCGTCAGTTCAGAAGGACGACGTCCGACTCGGAGTCACAAAGTCGAGCGAGGCGAAATCTGTCGGCCCAGAGAATCAAAAGCGATGCCATTGCCGGCCTATTCACGACGCCTGTCCTACATTCACTTCACTCCGAGTGCCACGCCCCACGCATCCCAAGACCAGCCTCGCTTTTGGCAGGCAACCCCACTAAACTGAGGACTCAGGCCACTCAGGCCACTCAGGCCACTCAGGCCACTCAGGCCACTCAGGCCACTCAGACCCATGCCCCAATGATCTTTGCTCTCTTCGCCCTGAAGACAGCAAAGAGGGGATCGGGGATCCATGGAGCCAACTGGAGCCAAAGCCAACAGGCGCCCGCTCATTCTCGGGATCGCCGTTGACTCTCGGCTGAAATGGGAAGCCTCCCTGGACTCATGGGGGAGAGTCGGCGAGTCGGCGAGTCGGCGAGTCCCGTGCCTCGCCGGTCTTCTTGGCCATCCATTTCATGGCTGGCAGATCGAAAGTGAGACGCTCGCTGTCGAGTCTCTCCTCTCCTGTCTCTCCTCGAGTCTCTCCCGGCTCTCCTCTCCTTTCTCGGCTCGCGCCTGGCGGCATCGCCTAAGTGGCAAACACTCGGAGCCAGGCGCACGGAGCCCTTGGCACCGAGAGTGCCGCGAGAGTCTCCGCGAGAGTCGCCGCGAAATTCAAATGTGAGCTCTGAGTGTTGTCTGTACCGTCTGTACCGTCTGTACCGTCTGTACATGTTCTGAGCCTCACGTTTCTTTTTCTTCTCCAACGCTCATGCTCCGCAATGCTCATGTGCAGGGTGCGCTTGCTCGCAGCCGCTTAGCATGCAACCTGTTTATTGATAGGCTGGATGGGCTACACTATCGATCCAAACGGCAAGTCGACACCGGAAGCTTATTGGCACGGAAGAAAAAGCGGGACGTGCGTCACGTGCTTTCACCGCAAGGCAAGCGGAGTCCGAGAGTTCGAAGACGAAAGGCTTACGCAAGAAGCTGCACGAAGTCAGAGAGCACCTAGAACTTGCATGAACTTAGTAACTTGCTTTTGTCTTGGAGCCGCGTGAGCCTTGCCTCGTTGCCTTTCAGCTTGCCAGCCAGCCTCGGATGTCTAGAAACCCATGGCTCCAGTCTAGTGCCAGCCAAGAGACTCCTTTGCCAGCTGGACAAGCTTCGGCATCATCTCCTTGAGTTCGCGATGCTCCTACGCGTGACACAAATGCGAGGCAACAATGCGAATCGCCGAATCGGGATAGAGGATTCTCCTGGCATGGGTCTGCCGGCATCGCCTTCAGAAGTCTTAGCTGCGCCTCGCCCCAAGCGAACTAAGCATCCGAGTCAACTTGCGAACTTGCGCCTCCATGACAGGCGAGGCCTTGGCTGCGAGCACGCACTGCGCGATCTTCAGGGCTGCCTGAGTCACCGAGAAGTCACCGAGACGTCACCGAGGGCACGTCACGTCGCACGCGTACCGATCGCTCCGAGTTCGACCCCAACCGACTTCCCGCGCTTCCAGCGCCTCGGGGTCCTTCGCCTTGGCGCCATCCTCGCAAACCGTCCCGTCCCGCGCCCCGGTCTTTGGCCCGTTCCGGACTCTGGACATGTCGGAATTTCAACACTTCCACTTCCTGCTCACCCGCTTGGAAGGCAAAGGCGTCCAGGGCGAAGCGCAGGAAGGACCAGCCCCTAACGAAATCGGAGATCGAATAGGAAACACGGAGCGATATCGATTCCATCTGCGTGAGCGCAACGCTCGGGACTCCGTGTCGCCTCTCCATCTGCCCCCCGCTGTGCCGCTCGTGCGGCGGCATCGGGGCCCAGAGGGCCAGCAGCCGATCGCAATTGAAGCCCTCAGACCGGAACGGTGAGAGAAACTGAAAGAGAAACTCGGGAGAAAAGAAAGAAAAGAAAGAAAAAGACACGGCACTGCAAGGACAGGAGTTCTAAAGACAAGCAGCATTTCCGGTGATTGCCATGCGCAGGCAGTCGGCAGCAAGTCCCACAACCTCGGCTTGCGCAGGCCAAGTTGGCGCCGAGCCGCACAGCCGCACAGCCGCGCCTCTGCGTCTGTGGCAAAGTGCCACATCACAGCGACCTGGCGGACCCGGGCCATGAGCGATGTGCCCGAGCCGATTCGATAGCTGACCATGGCCCGCAGGCCACCCTGTTGCTCTCCCACACCTCAAATATCCCAAAGCGGTTCGTTCGGCTCGAATGTGCTTTCCTATGTCGGAGCCCGCTCTCCAATTGCCTCTTCACACACACTCTCTCTCTCTCGCTCTCGTGCAGCCAAAAGCGCCACATCGCGCATAGTGCGAGACTCGCACCTGTGTGTCAACATTCCAGCAAATCACTTCTTGCACTGTTCGCCTTCACTGCAATGGAGTGCAAGAGGTCCAAGACCTAAATCTCGGGATGTGCTAAAACACTTGTGAGAATAAGAGCATGACAGCCTGTCGATCGACTGCCTTGCAGGGATCTCACGCTCTCACTCTCTCAAACCTCAAGGCAAGCAATCTTCAACCAGATCCCACACATTCCGCACATCCCACACCACATCCCACCTCTGCGTCACGCATGCGATCCCCCCCGGTCTTGCCCACCTGCAGCACCTGGCAATCGATCTGACGGGGTGCCACCTGGCAGACCCTTTGAGACACCTCGGATCCAAGATCGCTGCTGACGGACACCGCTTCCACCCACCTCAGGACCAGTTTGCCGCCTCCGTGCAAAGTGACTGCGGCTCGCGCATCGGACTGTTCTCCCCCCGCTCTTTCGCTTGCCTCGGAAGCTCGAGGGCTTTTTCGGGACGGAAATCAAAGCAACTTGGCACTTGGGGCGCGGCTTATTCAACTCTTTCCTTTGGCTCAAGTTCTTTTTGAGCCACTCCTCGCCGAGGTGCTCCTTGTACCAGCTGTCCGAGCCACACTGCGGATCCATCTGACAGGAAAAGCAGGAGACCTAGCGGCTTAGCGGCCTAGCGGCCTGCAGCCGCTTGCCCAGCAGGAGGTTGCGGTAGATCAGCTCAGAGACCTCGCAAGTCAAGTCAAGTGCTCCAAAGGCTCAAGACACGCACGTCAGCTCTTTTGCAACGCGAAGCGAGAGCATGCGAGAGCGAGTCAGCCGTAGCGGCCCGATCTGCTTCCAAACCAGTTCTCCGCCCTCAGATTCATCGCGTGCAACTGCCTTGCCACAGCCTTGCTGCCGAGTTGCATCTCGTTGGTCCGTATCGTCAGGCTTTTCGTTGTGGTGTACTCTTCAAAAGCCTCGGGCCCATTCTCCCGACCTGAGCTGAATTTCGGAATGCGTACGGGAGCATAGCATTGCACTCAGGCCGTGGCCCACGCCACTCTGACCAAAGCCACCCCAGGGGCTGGAAGGATCGTTGCGGTGATGGCAGTTGACCCAGCTGAGACCACACCGCAAGCGCCGCGCAACTCGCAGCGCCTTGCGAACGTCCTCTGTCCAAATTGCGCCTCCCAGGCCGTACTGAGACGAATTGGCTAAAGCAATGGCCTCCTCTTCCGTGCCGAAGGGAGTGAGGGACACCACGGGCCCAAAGATCTCCTCAACAAATGCAGGATTCTCCGTGCTGACGTCCCCCAACACCGTGGGCTCGAAGAAGAAGCCGTCCAGGCCCACTCGCGTCTTTCGCCCCCCGGTCAACACCGTCGCCCCCTGTGCCCGGGCCCTGGCCACCTGGTCCTCGATGCGCTGCAACTGGCGTTGGGAGATCACGGGCCCCACGTCCGTGTCCAGCAGCGAGGGATCGCCCACCCGCAGCTTTTTTACCTTCTGCACCAGCCGCGCGCGGAACTCCTCGAAGATCTCCTGCTGCACCAGGAGCCGCTTGGCGCTGACGCAGGTCTGCCCGGCCGCCACGAAGCCGGCGAAGGCCACGCCGTCCACGGCCTCCTGGACGCAGCGCGTGTCGCTGAAGACCGCCACGGCCGCGTTGCCGCCCAACTCCGCGCAGTACGCGCGCACGCGGCCCGCCTCCGCCATGGCGCGCTGGATGGCCAGGCCCGTGGCCGTGCCCCCCGTGAAGTCCAGGCGCTCGATCCCCGCGTGCCGCGCCAGCGCGTCCCCCGCGCTGCCCGGGCCCGGCACCACCTGCAGCACGCCCTGCACAGTCACAGGATCAAAGCTTTGATCTCAACACTCTGACTCAACCCTTTGCGACGTGGAACGCTCGAACACGTCGGCACGTCATTCGGGCCTCCGGCAGCCCAGCCTCTCCCAGAATCTGCGCGAGGCGCAGCACGGTCACGGGAGCCTCCAGAGGAGGCTTCACCACCACGGCGTTGCCCGCGGCAAGGGCCACGGCAATCTTCTTTGCTGCGATGAGCACCGGGTGGTTCCAAGGCGTGATGAGCCCGCACACCCCCAATGGCACCCGCCACACCAAGTTCACATGATCCGACTCTGTGAGTGCTGGCAGACGGCCTTCGAAACCCTTAGCCGCCGCGTAGGAGCCGTGGTACTCGAACCACTCCGGCACGCGCCCCAGCTGCGCCTGGTACTCGCGCAGGCAACGGCCGGTCTGCTTGGTCTCCAAGTCCACCAGCTCGCTGAGGGACCCTCGGATCAGGTCGGCCGCTCGGTGCAGCACCCGGCACCTGGCCCGCGGATTCAGCTCGCTCCACTCGCCTTTGGCGAAGGCTGCCGCGGCGTTTTGCACCGCGGACGCGATGTCTGCGCCATCTCCCGAGGCGAAGGTGGCGACCAGGTCCCTGGTGGCCGGGCTCCGCAGCTCCTCCCTGGCGCCACTCTGGGCCTCGGACCAGCGCCCCGTCCACAGCCCGAAGTGAGGCACCGAGAAGCACCGCTTCTGACTCCAGATCCGCATGACAGGCTTGGGCGTCGCGCTCGCCTGTGCTTCCCTGTGAGAACGAGCCAAGCGGCAAACCCAGAAATGAGCAAGTCTGAAGTCTGAGTAAGCAACAAACGACACAAAACAGACCTGAAACAGCGCCTACCTGGAGCTGCGCATCCAGCTCCAAGGGTGTGATCTTGGAGTCTCCTGGCTATTAGCTGATGGACACGGAGGGAGTGCTGTGGACGAGCCTGAGCCAAAGACGCTGCCCGCAGCCACTCTCCCGGAACACGCCGCGCTCTTGAAGGCCTCCAGCCCTGGAGAGATGCCTCCGGACCATTCAGTCATGAGATACGATACGATGCCAATTGGGGTGAAGTTTGCGCAAATCCCGGATCCAAATGTGGCTTTTGGACGCCGTTTCTACAAGCAAGGTCGGCGTGCCGAGAAGCAGCGAACTGCCAACAAAAACCGCGATTTGTCGAGAAAAAAAGCTCTTCGTTCCGCTGAACAACAGCCGACAACGTGTCCGCTACATGATGCAATTCGTGGAGAAAGCTGTCGAAAGCGCACCTTTGGATCAGGCACACCAGAGGCTGGACATGAGCGATGTCAATAAAACAAACACCTAAGCCTCGCTGTCAATAGACATACCCCTCAAGTCAAAATGAGACGCGGGACGTATTTGTGTGGAGACAGCACGATGCACAAATATGTGGGTCAGTCCCCTAGTGTGATTCACAGTGTTGAGGAAGTTGTAGAAGTCCAATCATCTCGCCGCTTGGGGAGGACAAAAAACAGTGAGCGGCGACACTTTAAAGTGGCTTGATCCGAGCGACTTAAATGCTGACGTGATAAGCTTGAGAAGTCTGACGGAGGACAGGTGCGGCGTGTCTCCGCTGCCAGGCGGCAGCAAGACTAGCCCACGGAAAGGAGCAACTAGTTGCGATCTTTAAGTTCATTGCTGTTTCGGAGCTTCTCATGGCTCAAGACTCCATTTGGGGAAGAACCGCTTGGCTCAAGTTCAAGGTGGCAGCATCAGGCGCTGGAAGCGCGCCGATGGCGTTAGCTAGTTCGCCAGCGCTGGCCGGCGTTGGCAAGGCTCAGCCTTGAGCTGCCGTTAGGGGCGCCAACCGTAGAAGAGCTGCGTCGCACCCGCATGTGCATCTGCAGCTGTGAGCTGTAGACAAAACATCCCCAAGATATCCGCCGACCCCTTCTCCTCAAAGGGGGAGGCACGGGAAGGGTGAGTATCATCATCATAGTCGTCATTCATCATCACGCTTACCATCATCCTGGCGATCATCACTTTCTTGTACACTTTTCAAATGTTGCATTAGGCACCAGTGTTAATGCAGAGGATGCTACGATGATAGTTACAATCACCGTCATCATCCTTATCATCACCATCATACTCGTCATCAGCACGCTTACCATCATGCTGGCGGTCATCATCTCTTTCTTGTACACATTTCAAGTCTTGCATTAGGCACCAGTGTTAATGCAGAGGATGCTACAGCAAATAATTATGATCACCGTCATCATCCTTATCATCATCATCATGGTCATCATCAGCACGCTTACCATGATCCTGGCGGTCATCAACTCTTTCTTCTATACACTTCATATGTGGCGTTAGGCACCATTATTGTTGCAAAGGATGCTACAAACAACTATCATGAAAGTCCATCCTTTTCATCATTATGACGCTCACCATCATCTCTTGTGAGGCAGCATTGATAATACAAAGGGTGCTACGATGATGGCTATCATCCCCGTCATCATCCTTATCATCATCATCATCATCATCATCATCATCATCATCATCATCATCATCATCATCATGGCCCCGGCCATCATCATCTGTTATTCTATACATTTCTAGGCACAAGACGACAGTTGCACGCTACCACGATAGTTGTCATGACAGTCGTTATCCTTAACGTCATTATCAGCATCATCTTGTGAAGCAGCATTGGTAACGCAGAGGATGCTACGATGATAGTTTTCATCATCATCATCATCATCATCATCATCATCATCATCATCATCATCATCATCATCCTGGTGGTCACATCTTTTTCTTTTATACATTCAAAATGCACCACCGGCAACGCAGAGGATGCTGCAAACAACTTGATGCTCGTCATCATCTCTTGTGAGGCAGCATTGGTAACGCAGAGGATGCTACGATGATAGTTGTCATCACCGTCATCATCCTTGTCATCATCATCACCATCATAGTCATCATCATCACGCTTGCCATCATCCTGGTGGTCATCATCTCTTTCTTGTATACGTTTCAAATGTGGTATTGGGAGTCGAAATGATCATGTTCTGCACGGACTCCTTGTTTTCCGCGATCCATGGCCTGGAGGCCTTCATGTGAAACTGTCTATGTCAGCTCGAGCCTTCATGGCAAGAGCATGTGATCATATTCCCCCTTCATGCTGAAAGGGCGCAAACCTGGTACTTTTTGACTCAACAAAATCCAGAGGCCTCCCGCTGAAAGCTGCTTGAGCCCCTTGCTCACATCTGCAATCATGTCCTGAGCGTCCACCCACCAAAGCGCCTCCACCTGCGTCTGCAAGAGTTCACGCAGTCTCAAAGCGTGAATGAGCATACCCTGGTCGGTGGGCACCTTTACCTCTGCTCCAGACACACTGCCCAAAACTGACCTCGCGTCGATGACAGCTTTGAGACGAAGAGCATGCTTGCCGCCTTCGTGCACTTCCAAAGAGTTGCTTCACATCCTTCACACCCGTGAGGATCTCGGTCAAGGCCAAACTCACGTTCAGAGCATGACCGGCCAGGTCCAAAAGACTGTAAAGCTCTGCAACGTAAGTGCTGCGGCAAACCCGGTTTTGCTTCTCCGCGACAAAGTCTATCACTTGCACTGTGTGATTGCAACATCCAAGGTGAAGAAACCTTGCGAAAGATCATGCCTTGAGGATTGAGTTTCAAGTACCTAAGTACTCTATGCTGCTTTGCCGGTTCCTGCAGATGTCGCTGCAAGGCCGACACGTATACTGCTATATCTGGACGCGTCTGAACCACCCACCACGCCGCCAAGTAAAGAGCGATAAGCGGAAGCTGTCTCGGCATCGGCCTTGTCGTTTGCATCCAACAGCACAGACACGTAGTGGTCCTGGCTCAATACGCGACTTCCATCTTCCCGCGTCTCCAGAACAAGTTCAATCTCTTTCTGCAGCCCAGTTGCCTTGAGGTCATCAACGTGGACTGAAAGAAAAACCTGTAATGCGCCCTCCGGAGAATTTGACATACAGCTGATGGTCGTTGCTGAGAGGTCTCATCCCTGCTTTTGCCAACACCCTTGCCAAAGCAAGATTCCACAGACGAGGTGCGTCCCGCAAGCCAAACCCTGGTTTGAGCAACTCAAGACACTCCTTCGAACTGTCGAAGTCCTCCATCCCCGGCAGTGCTCTCAAAAGCTCATCTGTGCCTGGAGGAAGCAGAAGTTGTTCGGTCCGCATTTCTGCACTGCACCCTTCCTGAAAAGTTCACGAAAAGTGAGCCCTCTACGAAAAGCTTCGCTCACATCTGCGGATACCAACTGCCATCCAAACTGAGCTGAGAAGATCACCACCCAGCGCTGACCCCAGCGTGACGTTGCGCCCGCAAAGTTGTCCGTGCGTTGTTGGTCCTTGAAGCCCTGCGCTACAAGCCTTGCTTTGATATCACGGCCTGTCTTCATGTCCTTCCACTTCACCATTGCAGCGCGGCACTTGTCTGCTTCGGTGAGAGCCTCATCCCTGCTGTTCACCCTCTCAATCACCGGATATGCTGACTTGCCGCGCGCATACTGAAACACCAGCTCATGATTCGCCGGCAACGTTCTGCTGTGGCTTCCAACGACAAACGTCACATTGTTCATGAAGTGTGCGGGAATGACGAGTTCCGGCAAATACGACTCAAGCTCCTCTGAAGCAAGAACTGTACACATGGCACTTCCGAGACTGAGTTGACCAGCATCGGGCATTCCGCTCACATATGTCCAAGTCAGATCTTGGGATCGTCTTTTGACCTCCCACGCGTCATCGGCTGCTTCCCACTCATCATCATGATTGATGAAACCATGGCCCTCAACCGTGTCCGAACCGATTGAAGTTGCTATTGAGCCGCCCTGAGGTGCCAATATCATAACTTGGAACGCCATCAGGAAGTTCTTCGAACCCTGCCGGCTGTGAAAGCGATGCATCTGCTGCGGGTCCCATCAAGAATCATCTTGACCCTGGATTTGCCTGGGCCCGCACTTGTCGCCGGTGCGGCCATACTTCCACCACGGCGTTGCTCGACGAGTTCATCCGCCAGGCTGTCAAAACTCCAAAATCGATCTGCAGTGATGAGAAACTGCAAGACACACATTCATTCCGGGCTGCAACCAGTCAACCGCTGCACGTTCACACGCGCTGTTCCGGGGGTATAACAGTACTGCCATTCTTGTAACTTCCCACGCGGCCACCAGAGCATGTTTGTCTCGTCGCAGCTGACTGCTGCCAATGACTGACAGCCACAGCCGAATCGAAATCCCTATGTGCCCTTGATCATGAGCACGTTCTCTGCTACGAACAAACATGCACAAAGAACATGCGACATCTGTCTGTTTGCTTCGCACTGTACCCAGTCTCCTTGATGAGGTATCCAACCCAGACGCACGTGAAAGCCCTGATGATCTTCCACCGCCATGACAAGAGTCATCAAGGGATCATCATGCGCCCGATGTTGCTACAACAGCTGCAAGTAAATCAGTGCTCGGCGTACATCCTGAACCCGACACAAAAGATTTCTGCCTTGCCATCTGACGCCGATGATTCCTCTGCCAGCACATTGAGGATCGGTGGAGTGCGTCCCAAAACTGCTTCAAAGCCGCTGTATCATCCACGAATATGGATTCTGCAAGAATTTCCCCAAACCTGACTCGCAATCCGTCATCTGTGTGAGTCTGCTGCCGCAAAATCTCGTGATGTCTCTCAACCACCTGGGCATGCTGTCCGGGCGCACGCAATGTCAAAGCAACTCCCCTTCTCTCAAGCCATGCTGCAATGTGATCATTTGCAATACCGCCTTCCTGATCAGCAACAATTAGGCGTGGAGGCCCGAAGATGCTGAACCAACGTGCTTGCAGCTGTTGCACAATCTCATCCGCACTGCGTGACTTCAAAGCGCATGCCACCGTGCAGCGTGCGCAGACGTCGATGAGATGCAACACCACGTAGCGCCGGTAGAACAACAGGTCAACTTGCACTTCCTCTCCGAAGATGGTGCGTAGAGTGGGCGAAGTCATCGTTCTTGGTCCAGGTCTGGACCA